TCAGAAGAGGCTACCTTTCTCTATTATCTTAAAAAACAAAACAAAACCCTAAACACAAGCTTAACAGAGCCTGCATTACAATTTCATATCTCACCCTCCATTTCTCCTGAACAGGAAAGGTGATTGCAGAAGCTCTATAACTGATGGGATCACATTTAAGCTTGACAATGCCTGTAGGTTAAATCGTATTTATTTTTAAAAAAGACTTTAAAAGATCAAAACCATCATGGTAGAATGGGAAGTGGACTTGAACGCATTATGTAAGAAACTACAAGCTTCATACCTGCTGATTTTATAGTTTTGAATCTGAGAATGGAAAATAGCATTGCCTTTTCAAACGCACAGGGAGAGGATGGGTAACTGACCCCAGGGATTACTGGAGGGGATAAGCTACGACTCCTTTGAATAATCAGCTTACCACTGTAGCTTTCCTGTTAGCTGAATTTGATTCTTCAGCATCCATTTAAGTATTTCTTTCTTCCATGACCTTTAAGAAGTGAAAATCTGATGGCGTGAGTAGACTTAAAAATATCCGAGGGTAATTTTCTTAGGATGAAAACTTTGCCTCTTTGCCCTCATTCTAATTTCAGAGTCTCTTCTCTGTTTGTTTCTACACTGGGGAGGATTCCAGTTCTTGCTTAAGCCTTGTGTCACATTTCAGAAGATAAGCAAAAACTGCACTTGGGTTGATACTCATAGCCAGTGTCTGTGACCTTGAGAAGTCAAGCATCCATCTGGTGCCTCAGTTTGTGCAATGTAAGGACCAGACATTCTCCAGAGCTGTCAACAGGGTCTTGCTCATGACTATGAAGCCAGTTGCAGCTCTAAAGCACCAGATAACTGTATTAATAATAACCACAGGGTCCAGACCATGAGCACAGGTTGAATTCAGAAAGGATGGAAAGTGCTGATAACAAGATATATACCTCTGTGATATATACCTCTGTATATACCTCTGTAATGAGTGTGTGCAAGCTACCTTACACCCAAGGTCCATTTCCCAACATATGTTGAAACCTACTGTGTAGATCTGACTGTCCTATTGGTTAGGAGACTGAGCCCAGGTTTGTTCTGGTAGATGCTTTGCTCCAAACCACACTTCAAGGTCAGTCTGATCTTGGATGGCCTCGGCCTGCAGCAGCTTGAAGAAGGGCCTTGATTCTCAGCCAGAGATTGAGGTCAGGTCACATCAGTGAGAGCACCAAATCATAACAACTAGACCAGTGGTCAGTGACAAGGCTCTGGACCTTCAGCTGTGCAGAAAAGAATTCCCATAAAGACAGAAAGTAGTGGAACAAGTAAAGTATTTATTAGGAGGAAAAATTACAGTATGTGTATAGATAGGCTCACAGGTGGGCTCAGAGAGAGAGTTGTGCCCTGGTGGTAGTTTCAATCACTTTTACGGGGTATTTCTTCCAGTTTTCCTTTGGATGATCATTTTGATTTACCTGGTTCATAGTCCATGTTTGGCATATCTTGGGGTTCTCCCATGTGTGTGCTCGTATCTCTTAGCCAAGATGGATTCCACTAAAGAGGCCTATGGGTAGTGAGCATCAGTTAGCATCACTCCCCTTTTGACCTCCAAGGAGTCACATGTGTAGTTGGGGACGTCTCCTGAGTTTAAGAATGAAAACTATGTTGTCTCTTCTCTTCTATCTGGCAGGGCCCAGCCTCCTCTCTCAATTGTCCTGCTCTTTGTATTTGGGAGTATTGCTTCACAGGGAATGAATCTCCCATCATGTCACCGTGGGGGGCCTATCTACCTCCTACCTCAGGTCTAGAGAGGGAGGGTGTCCAGGTAGCTCAAACAATCAAACCATTTCTGTTAAATCTGCCTGATTCTTGCCAGAAATCAATCAGAAAGCATAATCAACCAGGGGAGACTATTCTAGAAAACAAAACAAGAAAGGAAAATGAACCCACCTAAATCACACTGAGTCTCTAATCCTGGCAGGGCCCTCATTGACCTCCTTGAATGCCAGGCTGGTCTCCTGCCCATTGCCCCCTCCTGATATTCTCCTTCTTGTCGGCAAGGGGAATATAGGTCCTTGGCAAATATGCTCTCAAGTTCCCTGAATACAAATAACAGAAAGACAAATGAGAGAAGAGAAGGGAAAGGAAAGGAAGGGGAGGGGAGAAGACACAGGGAAGGGGAAGGGAGGAGAAGAGATGGGCGAGGGGGAGGGAGGAAAGTAGGAGAAAAGAGAAGGGGAGAGACAGGAAAGGGAAAGGGGAACAGAATCTCATCTCACATCTCAACTAAGATTTATTTTGTCAACTGAGAAGTGAGGCGGCAGGGGAAGAAGGAGAGAAGTGAAAGTTGAGAGAAGGAGGGAAAATGCTGAGGCATGAGGAGAAGTGAAAGAGGAGAGTGAAAAAGATGGCTTAAAACTCAACATTCAGAGAACTAAGATCATGGTATCGATCCCATCACTTCATGGCAAATAGACGGGGAAATAGTGGAAACAGTGACAGACTTTATTTTTCTGGCCTCCAAAATCACTGCAGATGGTGACTTCAGCCATGAAATTAAAAGACGCTTGCTCCTTGGAGGAAAAGCTATGACCAACCTAGATAGCATATTAAAAAGCAGAGACATCACTTTGCCAATAAATGTCCATCTATTCAAAGCTATGTTTTTTCCAGTAGTCACATATGGATGTGAGAGTTGAACTATGAAGAAAGCTGAGTGCCTAAGAATTGATGCTTTTGAACTGTGGCATTGAAGACTCCTGAGAGTCCCTTGGACTGCAAGGAGATCCAACCAGTCAATCCTAAAGGAAATCAGTCCTAAATATTCATTGGAAGGACTGATGCTGAAGCTGAAACTCCAATACTTTGGCCACTTAATATGAAGAACTGACTCATTTGAAAAGATCCTGATGCTGGGAAAGATTGAAGGCAGGAGGAGAAGGGGACAACAGAGGATGAGATGGTTGGATGGAATCACTGACTCGATGGACGTGAGTTTGAGCAAGCTCTGAGAGTTGGTGATGGAGGAGGGAGCCTGGCATGCTGCAGTCCATGGGGTCACAAAGAGTCAGACGTGACTGAGTAACTGAACTGAACTGGGGAGAAGGAAGGACAAAAAACAAAGCAAGAAGAAAAGGGACAATGAGAACAGAGCAGGGGAATAAGACAGCCCAGAAGATAGAGCAGGTTTCATTTCTCTTCTGCCTAACATTTGACTTTTGTCAGCCTGTACATGCAGACTTGCTTAGAGAAGATGGTTGTACAGTTTATTTTTGCATGTAGAGACTTGTTCACTTCATTCTTAGAGATAGTCCTCTGGGAAGGATGCCCCAGTGACCGAGTCTCACTTAAACTGAGCTCTCCCTTCAGACCTGGACAAGCCACATTCCAAGCAGAGAAGGCTGAGGCACTGTCAGGCCTGGCCAGTGGCCGAGGGTCAGTGGAGCACAGGGCCTCCTTGGCCGCTCCATATCCCAAGTCCCGGGGAAAGAGCCCCCCACCCACAATGAGGTACAAAAGATCTCTGCTTTTCAATACCCAGCCTTCCAGAGAAGGACCTTAATGCCAACAAAGCGATCTTATTGTTTTCCCAAGCATTTGTTTACCCCTTAATAAATAATGATATTAGGTCTTTGGAGGAAAGAAGGAGAGAACTGCCAATAGGAGATTTAATTTGCTATAATCAATCCCTCTTAGCATGCAGAGTCACATAGTACAAGTAAAAGAATTAATCTGCACCAGAAAGAATTGCCTCTTTGGTGTTATGAATCTAATCATTTACGAAGCTGAGTTGGCATTTTGGGTTTAGATGGAGCTCTCAGGAATAAAAGCCACAGGATCAGGTTTCAAATGTGATCTGAATGGTACCCTTCATTGAATTTGGGGGCCTTTGGCTTATACAAGGAATGAAATGCAAATAGAGGCACTGGGCCTCTTTTAGACACCCCCTAAATGTTCACACAGACATGTAGGGGATGAATAAATACTTGCAGGACTCTGGGCTGCCTGTGTGAGATATTCCTTCTTGATTCCATTCTCTAGGATGGATTGTCAGACCTGCCAATCATCTCTGGCACCCCCATTATACTTGGGAGATGTGTTTGCTCTGTGCATACTGTTTTATAATCCTCAGAGGTGGAATTTCATAGCCCAGCAATGCTTTTGCCTTTGACATTCTCCTAAGCAGGATTTATTGCTTCCAAGACAGATGTGACTTGAATCGATTATGTCTTTTAAGCAGTCACTCTGGAAGCAGCCTCCAGGTTCTCTGGAATACTTTTTGCCTGACTTCATTCAACTTGCAAGCTGATGTCAGAGTATTTCATCATAATCTAATACTATTAAGAGTCCTCTGGGTATGGAACTAAGAAGGCTATTACACCAACTAAGTCCAGGATGTGGTTGCTACTCTTGAAGAGCTTACGGCCTGCAACACACAAACATCTATTAATATCACAAAATGCAGCTGAACGGAAGGAGGGACCTAGAAGTTATATTTACCTGCTATTGACCTCTCATTATTGATGAACTTAGAAAATGAACTAAGTACATTTGTTCATCTTTGGAATTGAGACAAGAAGCAATGCCAAAAAAATGAATGGAAAAGATCCAAATTTCCAAAATGCTCAATAAAGATTCTCATTAAAAATCATATAGGTATGGTTGTCTGTTTCAGAGCGCAAAACTACACATCACCCCAGCCATTCCAAAAATGTTGGGGTTTCTCAGTATTTTATAAGTTTGGCAACATTAATCTTATAAAGAGTTGTTTCAGAGGTGATCTGAGCCTGGGGGTATTAGATAACATAATTCTAATTGACTTCAGCCATAGACCTAGATTCATAATCACAAATAATGTTTCCAAAAGTTAATGGCTTTAGAAGAAAATAAATGAAGTTAGTATTTTTAGATTGATCACAACCCACCTCATCCTATATTAGTCCAAAAGATAAGAGGGAGGGATCTTTGAAAAAATAAGAGGCAAAGAAATAACATTTCCAGACACTATACCACTTTCTTACCTGATTTTCTATGATCATTTTTCTCTGGAGAAAGATCCAACTGATCCTCCTTTTAGAATGTATGACTTAGCAGAATATCCACCATATCTTGCTCCATGTTTCCCTACCTATTTAAATGAGAAAATTCTAGCAGGCATTGATTTGGCACCAGGAGAGAATGAGATAATAAAATATTCCCACAGAGTTCAGTTCAGTCACTCTGTTGTGTCCGACTCTTTTTGACCCCATGGACCGCAGCATGCTAGGCATCCCTGTCCATCATCAACTCCCAGAGTTTACTCAAACTCATGGTCCATTGAGTCAGTGACGCCATCCAACCATCTCACCCTCTGTCACCCCTTCTCCTCCTGCCCCCAGTCCCTCCCAGCATCAGTGTCTTTTCAAATGAGTCAGTTCTTCACATCAGGTGGCTAAAGTATTGGATTTCAGCTTCAGCATCAGTCCTTCCAAACTGATTTTCTTAAGGATGAACTGGGTGGATCTCCTTGCTGTCTAAGGGACTCTCAAGAGTCTTCTCCAACACCACAGTTAAAAAGCATCAATTCTTCCCACACAGTAACCACATTATAATATATTTTAGTCCCACTTGATAAATAAAGGAAAATTTGTAATCAAAGTCATAAAGGATACAAGTTGTTAAATGAACCCTGTACTTAGGGGGAGAAAAAATTTCCTTAAGCAACATTAAACATTCTCAAAATCCACTTCTAGGCACTAGTAAGCTCATATATGAAGGAGAGGGAAAATATGAATGATTTTTTACTCCCTTAATATTTTGCAAACAGGAATTTAGACAACATTGTCAAGGATGCATTCAGATGATTCCCTTGGCTGTTGTATTAGCTGTAGGATTGGGTCCAGGCACCGAGGAAAGCTAATCCTTTCAAGAACAATTTGCTCTCTTTTATTTGGTAAATTATTCTAAATTTCCCTTTTTCCCCCTGAGTTTTAAAATTGGTTGTTGTAGCTTCACAATCTTCCCTTTCTCCACTAGTCAGGCCTGGGGAGAAAGGAGAGGCTGAATGGGTTGCTCATAATAAAGGGGAAAGGGGAGAACAGTGAATAAAAATGAATGGCCTTGAATAGTTTGGGCCACCTCAATACAGGGGCTCAAAAATGCCATAGGACAGCTTCAAGCATTGACAGGTGAGAAATGAACAAAACCTTGCCAGTTAAAGTCTATTGTTGCAAGATCTAGGCTTCACGATTGATTTTAAATAATAAAACATAAAACACCACGATGATAGAAACAAAAGCAAAGAAACCACAGTACAAAATCTGATACAGAGCAGAACAGAGGAAACCACCAACCATCCTGATCTCTCTGCTGTTGAACAGAAAAAAAGCTCGGGAAGAAAGCCCTAGGAGAAAACAGAACAACATCACCAGACTCAAAGAACATTTTCTTAAACATTTCTATATATGGAAGAGGCAGACATGAAAATAAAATCTAGTTCAGCTTGGCTTCACAAACACAGAAAACCATCAATTCTCTTAAGACACCTGGTGTTTGTCCATCAACATATCGGGAGAGACCCACCAACAAAACCAGAAGGAGTAGATACATTATTTTTTAAATATTTCAATAAAAGAGTGAACAAGCAGTAACCTTGAAGAATCACATCTCAACAAAGCATGCAATGAACTAAATATCTTCTGTAATTAATTCACTGCTAGCATTAAAAAGAAAAAAAATAGTGCTGATTCGCTTACTGGTGGTGCACCAAATGTACCAAAGTATTCATTAGTTACTCAGTGATGCTGTTTGGGATAACTATTGCTCCACTCCAAAGCCTCTGCCAGCTTTGACGCCTGCCAAATTTGTATGTAAATGGATTTTCACTTTCCAAGGCTAATAGGAGATCTGTTAAATTCTCAGAGACAACACATATATTATTTTAAGCCCTATTACTTTGACTTAAAAACAAGCCACTTTGATACTAAATCCAAAATAATACTTAATTAGAAATCCAATACTCAATATATCAGAATGTCCATTACTCAGCTGTTTATCACAAAGTCAGTCATAATGAATGTGACAGATGAGCATTTTTGCACAACCAATACCAAGAAGAAAACAAAAAAGGTTACCACCTACTCTATATGGGATTTATTGATCTTTGTACCTGAGCATCCATTAAGAGGTGCCTCATCAATATCATGGAACTCTTGAGTGTCTCCTTCTCAGTGGGAAGAAAAGGGTCTTGGTCCTCCTCCAGCGCCTTTGACTTGGTGACAATAAAATGGGATATCTGGTCATTTAGGGTGTGCAGTGACTGGACTGCTGCAAAAAAGAAAGAAAGAAAGAAAGAAAGTTGAATCACAGTAGGTAACTTTCAAAGAAAAATTGGCTATTGATTTTTGAAGGGAGAATTGAGGGGAACACATAAGGTATAACTCAGGCAGGTGTCAAGAATCCTTATATCTATGGGTCTCTCCAATACATGTGTTTAATGGGTAATAGACTGAACACTCTCCAAATTGTGAGCCTATATGGAAATGCTTAGGGATGCAGTTGTGGGCAAGACCAGACTGGATGCTTGTGCTCATGGAGGGTTCAGTCCTGTGCCAGTCACAGAAAACAAACAAGTTAGCAAATACTTCTATGAAGATGACACATAAGTGTTTATGAATTAGAGAGAGATTAGTAGGGCATGAGGGAGAGCTCTACAGTAGATTTACATTTACAGTAATACAGTTGGCTATTTTACCTCTAAACAGATGGCCTTTATCATTAAGTTTAATGAAGGGATAGTGGCCATGTTTTCCAATCAGTACCACATGTGTACCAGGAGGATTATTGTTTCTCTATCATTCATATGGCACTTGAAATCTGACATAGTATAGATTTTAAGATTTCACTTTTTTGTGCTTTTTACCTCTTTTTCTGCTTTCTCCACAGTAAATTCTCTGGTAAGAGTAGAGGTTTTCAAGATAATCTCTTGGTTTATGTTTGGTATATGCCCAATAATTAGGAAAGGTCCTAAAAGTTAGAGGGTACTCAATAAATGTTGGTGAATTAATTTCCTTACATTCCCTTGAAATAAAATTTCTTTCCTTATTGAATTTCTATAACTTTCAGGTAAATCTATCCTTTCAAACCAAGAATAAGTAAAGCCTACACATTCTCAGGAAATCACTGCACTAATCACCATTCTGAGAATGCAGAGTAATTATCAAAAACTAGTATCCAATAGAATCACTCTGAGAACATCTGCCTTTTGACCATGAGCCAGTAAGAATAATCAGATTACCCGCTTACAGCAAATAACTAAAAAACTATATAATATATCAGAAACAAATACTTTTAGACATTGAACAACAGCAAAGCACTGTGATCCTTTAGAAAAGATGAAAAAGTTGAGTTCTATCATCACCAGCATTCTGCAAAAATGGAATGTCCAGACCACAGCACGGGAAATTCAAGGAGAACCCAGTCCTCACATTGAATTGAGAAGACAGAAATTGGAAAGACTAAGTCTGCTCTAATTTGCAAGACAAATCACTAAGAAAGAAGGAATTACACAGAGATCCCTAGAAATCTGCACAGGAGTCTCTCTGAGTTGTTGGCTAAATATCAATCCTATATATGGGTAAGATTAAACCCTACATATCTGGCAAAAGAAAGTTTCAGGAGAGGACAGTCACATTTTGGGGAGCTGTAAGCCCAATAATTCCCCAAAACAAATCGTTTTCATGCTCACCAGCCAAAGTGTAGGGTCTTGGTTGGAATTCACAGCACATTCAGCAGAGACTCCAGAAGGATAAAGGTTTAGAAATAAAGCTAAATGATCCTTAGAATAAAGGCAACTACAGGTCTACCAAAAAGGAGTTTAAAAGTAAGCCTTGTAAGGATCAAACTGATCTGCCTGTAACTGAAATACTTACCAGGAAAGAAAAATGAGCTTTTTTTTTTTTTTTTTGTAGAGGTATAACACAACCTGGGCTCCCCTGGTGGCTCAGATGGTAAAGAATGTGCCTGTAATGAAGGAGACTCAGGTTCGATCTCTGGGTCAGAAAGATCTCCTAGAGAAGGGAATGGTTACTCAGTATTCTTGGTTATCCAGTATTCTTGCCTGGAGAATTCCATGAACAGAGGAGCCTGGCAGATTCCAGTACATGGGGTCACATAGAGTCGGACACGACTGAGGGATTAACATTTTCGCTTTTCATAACAAAATCTAGCACTCAAAATGTGAAATTCATAAGGCTCTGTATTTGATAAAAAATTATAAGACATGTAAAGAAACAAGAAAGTGTAGCTTGTAGCCTGGAGAAAAATCAGTTTATAGAAACAGATTCAGAAATGACAAGTGATAGCATTAGAAAATATGATTATTAAGATAGCTACTATAGATATTCTTCGCATGTTCAAGGTTGTAAAATAAAACATTATTATAATGAGGAGAAAAATATAATATTTAGACCAGAACTAAGTAGAGCATCTAAGGATGAAAAATGCATATCTAAAATGAAATTTTTATTAGAGGAGATGCATAGCAGATTAAACAATGAAGGAGAAAATATCAATGAAATTGAAATTTTATAATAAAACTACCTATAATGAATAAAAAGAGCCTCTTTGATAATATAAAGCTGTCTGAGAAACATGCACTTGGAATCTGAGGGGGTCAGGTAGTGGCAGGGACAGAAAAATTGTTTGAAGAAACAGTGAAATTTTTTCCCCCAAATTTGAAAATACTATAAACCTCTGAATACAAGAATCTCAATAAACTTCAGGCAAGACAAATACAAAGAAAACTACACCAAGGTGTATTATAATCAAATTGCTAAACAAATCAAAACACAGTGAGAAACAGAAAATCTTTTTTTTTTTTTTTTTTTTGGCATTGGCATGGAGGATCTTAGTTTCCTGACCAGGGATCAAACACACACCTTATCCAGTGGAAATGCAGAGTTTTAACACCTGGACTCCCAGGGAAGTCCACAAAAATCTTAAAATCAGCGAGAAGAAGAAGGCATACTGCATTTGGAGGAAGAGAGATAGGAATGATATCAGACTTGTCATCAAAATCTATGAAAACCAGAAAATAATATATGACTGTTAAAAATACTGAAGAAAACACTTGTCAATCTAGAACTCTATAACCAATAATAGTATCTTTCAAAAAATCAAGGTGAAATAATGACTTTTTTAGATAAACAAAAGCTGAAAAATCTTCACCAACAGACTTTCATTAAAAGAAATGTTAACTGTCCTTGCTGTGTGCTTAGTCGCTCAGTTGTGACCAATTCTTTATGACCCCATGGACTGTAGCCTGCCAGGCTCCTTCCCTCCATGAAATTTTTCCAGGCAAGAATATTGGAGTGGGTTGCCATGCCCTCCTCCAGGGGATCTTCCCAACCTGAGGATCAAATCTAGGTCTCCCTCATTGCAGGCAGATTCTTTACTGTGTGAGCCACCAGGAAGCCCAAGAATACTGGAGTTGGTAGCCTATCCCTTCTCTAGGGAATCTTCCTGACCCAGGAATCAAACCAGAGTCTCCTGTATTGCAGGTGGATTCTTTACCAGCTGAGGTACCAAGGAAGCCCAGAGTAAGCATTACAAATAGCAAATAAATCAAAGATGACTTTGAGCTATAGAGAATCAGTCTCAGACAACTGAGCATAGAGTTGCAGCTACAAGTCATGAAATAGGAAGAATACAAAATATGACATCAGAGCAGATTTTCATTGCACAGGAAGGCTCTAAAATACTTTCCTGGACTAGGGAATAAGCTTGGCTAAAACAGAGAAAGATGAACAAAGAGAGGAAGTAAGGGACCTGATTCCTGCCTAACTTGAATCCTTGTACTCAGAAGGAGATGGTAGAAAAACACTCAGATAGATTTGGCGATCTGAAAGCAGAGTGACTTGATGTCTCGTGTCCTGCTCTGGGCATTGGGTGGGACAACCTCTCAGTTCACCCGCCAGCATGAGGGTAGAAACGACAGTCACATGGCATTTCAAGTCCCAGAGGCTCTGAGACTGCACTACTGCCCTCCCACCCTCACTCTTCCACCTCCAGTCTCGCTTAGCATCATGAGGATGGAAGATACCTCCAGCGAGTCCAGAAGTACCCAGAGGGAGAGTCATGGACCCCAAGAGAGGATAATCCACTAAGTCCCCTACATACAAACTTTTAAGTTGCAAACTTTCAAAGATGTGACTATGCTTCTTGTTCCAGCAAGAACCCAGAACCTGATGCCATCAGCATCATGCATGAGTGAAATGGCAGCTTGCCCATCTCCTATTGCTGATGATCCGTCAGCTCTACCATCTCCCACCTCTTCTCCCTCCTCCATTCAGTAACTCCTCTTGCCTCTTGACTCAATGCCAGTCCCAGTATGCCAGCTGAGGTACTGTCTACTGTACTTTTCAAGGTATTGAACTGTAAGATAAAATTTTTCTTTTTGTGTTTGTTTTCTATGTACCATCTGACCTGTCTCTTGAGAAACGTGTATGCAGGTCAGGAAGCAACAGTTAGAACTGGACATGGAACAACATACTGGTTCCAAATAGGAAAAGGGGTAAATCAAGGCTGTATTTTGTCACCCTACTTATTTAACTTATATGCAGACTACATCATGAGAACCGCTGGGCTAGAAGAAGCACAAGCTGGAATCAAGATTACCAGGAGAAATATCAATAACCTCAGATATGGAGACAACACAACAGAAAGTGAAGAGGAACTAAAACGCCTCTTGATGAAAGTGAAGGAGGAGAGTAAAAAAGTTGGCTTAAAGCTCAACATTTAGAAAACTAAGATCATGGCATCTGGTCCCATCCCTTCATGGGAAATAGATGGGGAAACAGTGGAAACAGTGGCCGACTTTATTTTGGGGGATTCCAAAATCACTGCAGATGGTGATTGCAGCCATGGAATTAAAAGACGCTTACTCCTTGGAAGGAAAGTTATGACCAACCTAGACAGCATATTATAAAGCAGAGACATTACTTTGCCAACAAAGGTCTGTGTAGTCAAGGCTATGGTTTTTCCAGTGGTCATGTATGGATATGAGAGCTGGATGGTGAAGAAAGCTGAGTGCCGAAGAATTGATGCTTTTGAACTGTGGTGTTGGAGAAGGCTCTTGAGAGTCCCTTGGACTGCAAGGAGATCCAACCAGTCCATCCTGAAGGAGATCACTCCTGGGTGTTCATTGGAAGGACTGATGTTGAAGCGGAAACTCCAATAGTTTGGCCACCTCTTGCGAAGAGCTGACTCATTTGAAAAGACGCTAATGCTGGGAGGGGTTGGGGGCAGGAGGAGAAGGGGATGACAGA